CCTGAGGTGAGCAGTCCCTGCCATTTGCTATTGCCACTCTGATGTTCTGCCAGAGCACACTGGGCCAAGTAGCTATGGACTGAACCCTCTGAAACTGTGAGCAAAAATAAGTTTTTTCCTCAGGTATTTTGTCACAGCAATGAGGAAAGTAACTAATACATAACGTGAATGCTGTGTATTAAGAAATAGTGATGAGGAAAAAATCTGAACATGTTCAGTACACATGCATGGTGCACGCTAGGCAAGTGCTCTACCACTAAGCTATATCCGCAGTCTTCAGATATTTTTGATTCAAGATTGGTTGACTCTGCAGATGCTAAAATCTCATACTGAGGGCCAACAGTACTTTAGCCGTTCTCAGTCTTTAGATTCAGATCTTTTCATCTGCCTAACTCCTATTTGTCTGTCAGGTATCAGTTTAAAGATGTATTTCCTTTCGAATACCTTCCTTGACCTCTCCTAGATGCCCCTGCTTTGTGCTTACAGTGCACCCGGATCTTCACTTATGATGATGTTTTACACACTTCTCTACTCATGTGTTTAATCTGCCAGTTATCCATGTTCCAAAGAAAAAAATTTCTGTCATTTCAAACAAAACAACAGATGAAAGCTACAAAATGCTTAATATTTGTTGAATGATTTGATGAATTAATATCAGTTATATTTATGCCAAAAAGTCCTTTTAAAATCAAGGGTATTTTCTGACTTAAAAAAATGTACTGAATCTAGAACTCCTCATTTTGTTTGCAACAGAATAATGAGTATCACAATTATACTCCCAAGATGAACAACTATAAATGGAAAGAATATTTAAAGCTACTGTTTGCAGACATTGGACAAAAGATAACGTAGATTCTTTGAGAGAAGAAGTGTATCTGAGATGATTCCACATTCTAGCTTCATACACAAGGACATTTCATACACTTTGGCAGATAGAATTAGAATTGAGCAGAGATCGGGGGCATCACTAGGCAAATGAAACAAAGACAGGAGTTTGTGTTTACTAGGGTAACTGGGAATTCTGGGGCAGGGTGTTGGAATGGGGTTGCTGTGTACAGATGGGCACTAGAAAATTGCATAAGAGTCCTTTAAGTCTTTACCCAGATACTATGCTAAGCATGTATGGACAGAGATTCAGTGAGGATTACCAGAGAACCAACTATCAAGGTGGGATATAGAGTGGTGCTGTGAGCTGAATGATTTTAAAGGTCATACACTTCTGGAAGACATTTGGGTCCTGACATGCCAGAGTGAAGAGACCCTATGGAACTCTTCACTGTTCAGTTGGAGATCTCAGAAAGTCCACCATAACATAGCACTCTACTGCTTGAGCCAAGCCTCTAGCCCAGAGCCAAACTTTTAACTCACTCAATCTGAGCTACCAATAAATTAACTTTCTGCTAAAACCAAATCCCATGGTATTTAAACTTATCCACCATACCCAGGATATACAGAAGAAAATATGATTCATAACTGGGAGGGGAAAAGCGAGTAGAGCCAGACCCAAAGATGATACGGATTTTAGAATCAACAGACAAGGATTTTGAAGCTGTGCTAAATAAGCCCAAGGATTTCAAGGAAAAGGTGGAAAAGAGTATATGGAAAAAGACATGAACTGTAAACTCGACCCAAGAAACTTAACGCATCATAAGCAACATAAACGTACTCATGTTGTACATTTATTCATATTGCTCAAAACTAAGATAAAAAAGAAAACCTTAACAAATGAGGAAAGAACAACACATTGTGCAAAGGGGAAGGATAATGAATATGAGTGCCGACCACTTATTAAAAACCAAGCAAGAAAACAGTGGGACATCTTTAAAGTGCTGGAGAGCTGGTGGAGTGGCTCAGTTGTTAGTGCATCTGCCCAGCAAGCATGTGGCCGAGTTCATTCCCCAGTACCGCCAAAAAAATTAAAGTGCTAAAGAATAGAAATCAAACTTCTGTGTCTAGCAAAAATATCCCCCCTCCCCCGGCCAAAAAAAAAAATGAAGGTAAAATAGAGAATATTTTCAGATTTTAAAAAAGGCAGAGGTAAGTCCTGGAGGGGTGCCTATAATCCCAGCTACTTAGGTGAAGATTGGGAAGATGGAGATATAAGGCCAGCATGGCAAAAAGTTAGTGAGATTTCATCTCAACAAAGTAGCTGGTGTGGTGGGGCACATCTGGAATTCCAGCTATGAGGTGGGTATAGGTAGGAGTAATGTGACCCAAGGTCAGCCTGGGCAAAAAGCAGGAGACTCTGTCTGAAAAATAATTAAAGGGCTGGGGGTGGGGCAGGGTTCATGGCCTAAGTGGTAAAGTGCTTTGCCTAGCAAGTGCAAGGGCCTGAGTTCAAATCCTAGTACTACCCAAAACAAATAAATAAAGGCAGAAGTAATTTTCCTAAGTAAGTTTATACTACCATAATTATTAAAAAGAAAGTTTTTAAGGTTGAGAGAAAATACTAAAAGTATAGTTTTATAGTAAAAGTTCCTCTGGATCCCTCCTTAACAAACCTTAAAAATAGGTTCAAAAGAATCACACTTGCTGACAAAACTTAATTGCATACCAGAACAAAGTGTAAAAGAAGAAAGTAAAATTCTTCATCCAACAAGGCAAAATTCACGATCAGCAGTTGTCAGACCTGTAAAGAAGCAAGGAACCATGGCCCATAACCAGGAAAAGAAGTCATAGAAACAGATCAATAATGAAAGATACAAAAGAAGTAGTAGACAAAAACCTTAAAATATCACTGTAAGTCTTTTAAATATTCTCATAGATATAAAAGAAAACATAAGCATAATAAGAAATGTAAGATAGTAACACTACCACCAAAAAATAAAAAACAACAAAAAAACTCACCAAAACCAAAAGGATTAACAATATAGATAGCAAGGTTAAAAGGAAAAGAATACTTTTATGTCACTAATAAAAAGAAAGCTGAAGTGATTATATTATCAGGCAGTAGATGTCAGATCCAGAGATATAACTTCGGTAAAAACAATATTCTGTGATGACAAAGGGCTTGATTCATATAAAAAAAAAAGTTGTAAATGCAGAGTTTCAAACATGAGACAAAGACCTGTGGAACTAAAAGGAAAGACAGACAAATGTACAATTTTGGTTGAGGATCTGAGTACCACTGTCAGAGAAACAGAAGAAAATGGTAAGGTATGAAATACTTCAATAACACTAATAGCCAAATTAACCTAATTGACTTTTATAGGAAAATCTATTAAACAGCAGAATATATTTTATTTTCAAGTACAGTATTCTGGACTATAAAACAAGTGTCAGTAAATTTACAAGGGTTAGAGTTACACAGAGTGTATATTCCTAACCACATCAGAAATAAGCTAGAAATAATTTTTAAAAACCAGGAAAATCCTCATATAGTAGAAGATTAAGCAGCACACTTCTAAATAATTCATAGATCAAAAAAGAAATCACAAGGAAAATTAGAAAAGTAGTTCTAAGTGAGTTAATTAAAAGTGTAACAAAGTCAGTTGTGGCGTATGCCTGTAATCCCAACACTAGAGGCTGAAGCAGGAGAATCCTGAGTCTTAGGCCAACCTAGGCTACATAGTTCTTCAAGGCCAACGTGGGCTACATGGTGAGACCCTGCCTCAAAAAACAAGCAAACAAACAAAAGCATGGCAGTCGAATAATGCTTAGAAAGTTTTCTCTCTCTCTTTTTTTGTCATGATTCTCCTGCCTCAACCTCCTGAGCACTAGGATTACAAGTGTAATCCTAGTGTAAATTTCTAAGAACCCACCATGCCTGGGTTCTTAGAAATTTATAAAGTCCAGATGTTTGAAGAAGAAAAAAGGTGCTGACTATTGATGGCACACACCTGTAGTATAAACAGGAAGATAATGAGCTTGAGGGCAGCCTAGGTTATATAGTGAGAGCCTGTCAAAAAAAAAAAACATTAATGCCCCAGGCTTCCATCTTAAATTTGAAAAAGAAGAACTAATTAAAGTTAAAAATAAACAAAAAGAAGGACACAATAAAGATAGCAAAAATCAATGAAACAGAACACATAGACAATAAAGAAAATGATGAATCCAGAATCTGGTTCTTTGAAAAAGTCAATAAAATTAATACCCCTCCAAGCAAAGTATAATTGTAAAGTAAAAAGAAATTAGGGAATGTGTCAGATGCACTTTTATAAATAGATTAAATAAAGTTAATGCTCCCAGTAGTGAGATGAATTAAAATCATGTCCTACCTGCGGAGAGAGATTCATCATCACTTATATCATGATCCTGCCCAAAATGCATAACCTGATTCTGTTTATGAGGAAACATCAGAAAAACCCAAATTTAGAGGATATTTTACAAAACAATGGTCTGTAATATTTAAAATTATCAGTCATGAAAGTCAACGAAGATCTGAGCAACCATTCTAGACTAAAAGAAACTAAAGATACATGCAATGTATTTTTACACCACATGCAATGTGTAATTCTGAACTGTATCCTTTTGTTGTAAAGGACATTTGGGAAAACTTGAATGGGATCTGAGAGCCAAGTGGTAGTGATATATCAGTATTAATTTCCTGATTTTTATGATTGAAATTCCTTATTTGTAGGAAATACTGGTGATGGGACATCAGATCAGCAGTAGTTTAATCTCTTGTGATTCGGTGTGGAGGAAGTTATTTACACTGTTTTTCCACTCTGTTAGCTTAGGATTATTTTATTTAAAAAAGTTTTGGTACTTAAAACGATATTATCCATTTATTTCCAAGTACACATACCTGGTCTTATGCTGAGTAAAGGAGATAGACAATGTTAATGTCATTTTAGTAAATCAGTTAAACAGTACTCTTTTCCTTATATTTTGAATAGCACTTAAAAAATGGTACTCCTTTTGTATGTTTAAGGATTTTTTTTTATTGTAGTTGTTCCCTCATTTTAGATAGTAAACAAGATGATTTATGCTTTTTTCTTTCAGAACCAACATTCTGTGCTTATTAAAGTAACATAGTTTTTCTCTGTTTACCTTCAAAGGTTGCTCAAGAAACAGATGTGAGAGCCCAGATCCGTCTACAGTTTCGTGATGTCAATGGAGAACTTGTAGCTGTGCAGCGATCCATGGTGTGTAGTCAGAAAAGCAAAAAGACGGAATTTAAAACCCTGGAAGGAGTCATTACTAGAACAAAGTAGGTGTTTATATTATATTTGAATATATTTTCATTTTCAGTCTTTCAGGTATTACAAGACAAAGGTTTTTTCCTACTACTTTATTTTAGAGAACATTAATTTTCTTTCAACAGGCTTAATTTTTTGAATAGTTTTGGATTCACAGTAGAATTGAGTAAAAAGTATGGAGTTCCTCTATACTCCCTGCTCCTACAATACATTGTGTCCCCTACTATCAGCATTTAATTATTTGATACTGTTAATGAAATAGAAAGATCCCATTAAAGATATAGTAATTTATGAACAGTTGCTGAATTAAAAGTATATAATCATTCAAATATAGGTTGAATGAATTTAAAATGGTAGTATTTATAGGGATGGGTAAAATGAGAAGGAGTAGGGAAAAGTAATAATTTGTTTTAACTGTTACCATTGTGTCAGAGTCAGGTATCATCTTGTAATGGGTATGGGTTTTGGAGGTAGGCTGCCCTGGATTCAAGGCAAAGTACTTAACTGTTCCCTTTCCTCCCCTTTTTATTTGTTAAACTAACTGTTTCCCTTTATTTACCCAATAATGTTAAGCATGTAGCTACTGGCCATTGATTTCTCAAGCAGGTTCTTTTCATTGGTTTTTAAACATACACAATTCCCTCTCATTCCTTGGATTTTTTGTTACTGCGGGTTGTTGTTGTTTTTGAGATTGGGGGTCTGTATGTAGCCTAGGCTGGCCTTGAACTCACTATCCTCCTGCCTTAGCCTCCCAAATACTGGGATTATAGTCATGGCTGGCCCTTTTGGATTTCATTCTACTCTTCTTAATGCCTGTCTTTCTCTTCTCTTTGCTTTTTATAGCCAGTTTTCTCAAAAGAGTTGATAGTCTTCATTTCTTCATCTCTTCTTACTCCTTCTCCAGTTCCATTTCTCTACTGAAATAGCTCCAACTAAGGTTACAAATAACCTCTTCATTGGATAGGATAATTTTGCAGCTATAAAAAGTAGAACTAATAGTCAGCCTCTGTTTTCTTCATTTATAAAATAGGAGTTCATTATCCCTGAACAAATCTTAACTTATAAGGATTATAAGGATTAAACTAATGCATGCAAAATGTTTGCTATGTAATAAGAGCTCATATATTAGGTTTTCTGACTGCTATAATAAACCACAAATTTAGTGCCTTAAAATAACACAGATATATTATTTTATAGTTCTATATTTTGAAGTTTGAATTGGGTTTCACTAGGCTAAAACCAAGGAGTTTGTAGGCTGTGTTTGTCTCGAGGCTGTGTTTGTCTAGAGGCTGTAGGGGAGAATCTGTTCCCTTGTTCTTTCTATTTTCTAGAGGCCACCAACATTTCTTGCTCATTGTTCTCTTCCTCTGGCTTCTAAGCCAACAACAGTACTATGCAGAATGCTTTTCATACTGAATGACTCTTAACTCTTCTTCCTCACTTTCTTCATATTTAAGAACCTTTTGATGATTACATTGGCCCCACCCAAATAATCCAGGATAGTCTGGATTTTAAAATCAGATTGTTAGCAGCCTAATACTGCCTATAATCTTAATCTTCCATTTGCCATATAACCTCGTATTCTTAAATTCAGGGAATTAGAATGTGGCTATCTTTGGAGAGCCATTGTTTTATGTGCCATAGATCAATAATTAAGTTCTAATTAATTCTTACTTGAAATCTTCTTTTTCTAGACCTCCATAGTATGCCACCATTCCCTCTTTCTCTCCATCATAGCCACATCCTACTTCATTCACCCTGACAAGACAGGTTGTTGTTCCACTGGCTCCAGCCATTACATAAAATAATTTAGAATATTTTGTATCTTCTCTTCTTTCTTCTTTTTTCTTATCCTGTTCCTGTATCTTCTGTTTTTGCTCTATATGAGCTCATATATGAGATATAATCTCATTCATATCCATTACTCAAATTACTGTGTGACTTACAAATTTATTTCTCCAAATCAGATGTCTGTCTTTAGACCCATGTATCCAACTACTTATCTCATTTTTCTACCTGTTGTTTCAAAGATACCTCAGATTCAACATGCCCAAAGCAAGCTCATGATTCTGTCTTTTATTCCTCCTAAAAAGCCTCCTACGAGTAGGATGTCTTGCAGTACTTTCCATCTCAGTGAATAACACCACTATCCATCCAGTGACAAGGCCTGGAACCTAAGTCTTGATACCTTTTGTCCTCTATAGCCTCTCTAACCAAGTCCTAAGTTTCTTGAATCTGTTTTCATCCCTACAACAGCTGTTCTAGTCCAGGTTACTGTCACCTTTCCATGGTCTAATGTGATAACCTAGTGGTCTATGGGTGTCCTTTCTAGTCCCCTATAGAACATTCTCAGTACACTCACTGTAGTGTTTTCAAAATACAAATAGGAATGCATAAAAAATGGTAAAGACAGACACTGCCTCTGCCTGCCTGGTATCAGTCCATTACTGGAGAACCCATTTTCTAAACAACACATTCTTAGCTGTTTTCATTTAAGTCACCTTCGCCTCCCTGCTATTGATGATCATGTTTTTTTAATTTAAGTTTCTTATTTTTGAATTCTAGGGATGGAAGATAGTATATATAAATATTTTAAGTTATTTACAAATTGCATGTTAAATTGTATATAAATATATTAAATTGTTGTATTTAAAAGTCCAAATTCTAGGGATGAAAGATAGTATATATAAATATTTTAAGTTATTTACAAATTGCATGTTAAATTGTATATAAATATTTTAAATTGTTGTATTTAAAAGTCCAAATATGTAAAAAAAAAAAAAAACAAAAACAGAAACCCAGCATTCTTTCCTGTACCACCCTGTTTTACATAACTTTTTCATCAGCAGACTGCTAAGTCATTTAATAATAATACTTAGCATGAGGAAGCTATTATAATAGGACAGGTAAAGGGGATTTTTTTTGTTAAAGAAGTATACCATGAAGATTGATTAAGCATTAGATTAGGTACTACCAGAGGTCATTTTACTTACATACTTGATTGTTATTTTCTATAGGCATGGTGAAAAGGTCAGTCTCAGCTCCAAATGTGCAGAAATTGATCGAGAAATGATAAGTTCTCTTGGGGTTTCCAAATCTGTGCTAAATAATGTCATTTTCTGTCACCAAGAAGATTCTAATTGGCCTTTAAGTGAAGGAAAGGCTCTGAAGCAAAAGTTTGATGAGATTTTCTCAGCCACAAGGTTTGTAACTCTTTTTTTTTTTTTTGATGGGACTGGGGTTTGAAGTCAGGATTTCCAGCTTGCAAAGTAGGCAGTCTACTGCTTGAGCCACACACACCTCCAGTCCATTTTGCTCTGGTTATTTTGGAGATAAGGTCTCTAGAACTATTTGCCCATGCTGACCTGGAACCGCTATCCTCCTGATCGCAGCCTCCTAGATAGCTAGGATTATAGCTGAGCCACCATTGCCTGGCAAGAATTTGTAACTCTTAAGTATGTTTTGTAGCCCTTTAAATTATTTAGCCATGTTTTGTGTTGTTTTTGTAATGCTGGGGATTGAGACCAGAGCCTCACATTCTTCCACTGAGCTACACCCACAGCCTAAGCCTTGCCTTTTGTTTCTTTTGGGGTGTTTTTGAGACAGGGGCTCACTGTGTTGCCCAGACTAACCTGAAACTCCTAGGCTTAACTGATCTTACTGCCTCAGCCTCCTGAGCAGCTGGGACTGTAGACAGACATACACCACCATACTCAGCTTGGGTACTCTTATTTAAAAAAAAAAAGTCATCACTTATTACTTCTTACCCAGTGACAACCATAGGGCATATTTCCTTTCAGTTTTCTTTCTGTGCATGTTTATTTACCTGATTAACAGAATTAAATGTGATTTTTTTTTCATTTACCATTATCTCATAAGCACTTTCCAAGTTATAAAAACTCTGTAAGTATATTTTTTTTTTTTTGAGACAGAGTAACTCTATTTATGCCAGACTGGCTTCACACTCACCATTCTCATGCCTCAGTGTCCCAAGTGATGGTGTTATGGGCATATGCCACCACACCTGGCTGTAAATGTAAATTTTTTTTGTTTTTTGTTTTTTGTTTTTGTTTTTTTGCGGTACTGGGGTTTGAACTCAGGGGATACACTTTGAGCCATTCCACCACATCCTTTTTCATGATGGCTTTTTTCGAGATAGGGTCTTGCAAACTGTTTGCCTGGGCTGGCTTCAAACTGCAATCCTCCTGATCTTTGCCTCCTAAGTAGCTAGGATTACAAGCATGAGCCACTGGTGCCTAGCTTGTAAATGTCATCTTAATGGTGCATAATATTCTACTGTATGAGTATACCATAATTAACTTAGCCAGAAATTTAACTTTTATTTCATATCTTCAAAGGTATATAAAAGCCTTAGAGACACTCCGTCAAGTACGGCAGACACAAGGTCAGAAAGTAAAAGAATGTCAAACAGAATTGAAATACCTGAAACAAAATAAGGAAAAAGCTTGTGAGATTCGTGATCAGATTACTAGTAAAGAAGCCCAGTTAATATCTTCAAAGGAAATTGTCAAATCCTATGAGAACGAACTTGAACCATTAAAGGTAATTGATTTCTTTTTCTAATAGACAAAAAGTACAGTGTGGGATGGCTAAGTCAAAGTAGTTAAGAAGCACATTACTTCACATATCATTTTCCTGTGGTGGGAACACTTAAAACTATTCTCTTAGCAAGTTTCAAATACACAATAATTGCTTATTCAGTATGGTCACCATGATATGCAGTAGGAGAAAGTTGTTTTTCCACCCACAGAGTGGGAGAAAATATTTGCCAACTATACATCAGACAAAGGACTGATAACCAGAATATACAGGGAACTTAAAAAACTAAATTCTCCCAAAACTAATGAACCAATAAAGAAATGGGCACGTGAACTAAACAGAACTTTCTCAAAAGAAGAAATTCAAATGGCCAGAAAACACATGAAAAAATGCTCACCATCTCTAGCAATAAAGGAAATGCAAATTAAAACCACGCTAAGATTCCACCTCACCCCTGTTAGAATAGCCATCATCAGCAACACCACCACAACAGGTGTTGACGAGGATGCGGGGAAAAAGGAACCCTCTTACACTGTTGGTGGGAATGTAGACTAGTACAACCACTCTGGAAAAAAATTTGGAGGCTACTTAAAAAGCTGGACATCGATCTACCATTTGATCCAGCAATACCACTCTTGGGGATATACCCAAAAGACTGTTACTCCAGAGGCACCTGCACATCCATGTTTATTGCGGCACTATTCACAATAGCCAAGTTATGGAAACAGCCAAGATGCCCCAGCACTGACGAATGGATTAAGAAAATGTGGTATCTATACACAATGGAATTTTATGCAGCCATGAAGAAGAACGAAATGTTATCATTCGCTGGTAAATGGATGGAATTGGAGAACATCATTCTGAGTGAGGTTAGCCTGGCTCAAAAAACCAAAAATCGTATGTTCTCCCTCATATGTGGACATTAGATCAAGGGCAAACACAACAAGGGGATTGGACTATGAGCACATGATAAAAGCGAGAGCACACAAGGGAGGGGTGAGGATAGGTAAGACACCTAAAAAACTAGCTAGCATTTGTTGCCCTTAACGCAGAGAAACTAAAGCAGATACCTTAAAGCAACTGAGGCCAATAGGAAAAGGGGACAGGACTAGAGAAAAGGTTAGATCAAAAAGAATTAACCTAGAAGGTAACACCCACGCACAGGAAATCAATGTGAGTCGATGCCCTGTATAGCTATCCTTATCTCAACCAGCAAAAACCCTTGTTCCTTCCTATAATTGCCTATACTCTCTCTACAACAAAATTAGAAATAAGGGCAAAATAGTTTCTGCTGGGTATTGAGGTGGGGGGAGAGGGAGGGGGCGGAGTGGGTGGTAAGGGAGGGGGTGGGGGCAGGGGGGAGAAATGAACCAAGCCTTGTATGCACATATGAATAATAAAAAAAAAATGAAAAAAAAAATAATTTTACTCATACAAGATAATCATTCTATGTAATGACTTTGGAACCTAACACTCAAGTGAAATAAAACTACTATGTTAAAAAAAAAAAAAAGAAAGTTGTTTTTTGTTTTTTACCGTGGTAGCATTTACCTCTAACGTGCCTTATTTCTACATGAACTCGAATGGAATGCACATTGATTTAAAACAATTATCAGAGACTATATAGTGGTAGGACTGATGTCTTAGGTCTATATGAAAAAAAGATGGTTAGTCTTTAAATTGCCCAGAGAATCTAGATTTTAAAAAAACGATATGACAGTGGAGGGGAACTATTAGGGAAAAGGGAATGGAACAGAGAAGAGATAAGAGAGGGAAATTGAGGGGGCGGGTAGTGAATGTGACCAAAATACATTATATCTGTGTATAAAATGTTATGAAGCCAATTATTTTGTAGAATTAATATATCAAAATAAAATCTTTAAATCAAGGATTTGCAAATAAATAGCCCAGAGAGCTTAGATTTGAGTGTAAACAAATTTGTAGTATTATACTAAATTAAATAATAGTATAGATCACTAGCTGTTAAACAGTAATATATTTACCCAATCTTACAATTTTGGTTTTAAGATTTTTTTAACTAACAGATTTAAATTTTTTTCATTTATGCATTTTTGATGGTACTAGCAGTTGAACACAGAGCCTCATAAATGCTAAGCATATGCTCTACCACTTGAGCTATACCCTAGCTCTTTTGTTTATATTTTTGTTTTTTTCAGATAGGGATTTATCCTGGGCTCAAGGGATCCTTCTCCATCAGCCTCCTGAGTAGCCTAGGCTAAGATGAATCCTACAGTTTATAAAAATGACCTATAGGAAATCCTATTCTTCATTTAGTGAGCCTTTACCCAGTGTTTCCTGTATGCTAGGGTTATGCTTAGTGCAGTAGGTTCAAAGAGGACCACTACACAGATAGTAGTTTTTTATTTTTTTAGATCACTTAAAAATTTACTGACAGTTTTTTTTTTAATGTGCTTGTAAATACTGATGTAGTTGTTTGGGGGTTTTCCTCATGCTGTCTTTACCCTTTGATTCTTTTCACCCTTCAGTACCCTTTCCTTTCCTCCTCCTTTCTCCTGCTGATCCCCCCACCCAACTGTCTCCCATATGCATTCATGTTCCATTGTTATTACTGTTACTATCATCATTATTTTAGGTCCAGTTTCCAAAAAAATTGAATGAGTACATGCAATATTTGTCTTTTTTTTTGGTAGTTCTGAGTTTTTTTTTTCTTCCTTTCTTTATTTTTACCTCACACTTACTAAGCAGGCACTCTACCATTTGATCCACTCTGCCAGCCCTTTTGTTTTTGTGTTGGGTATTTTCAAGATAGGATCTCCCAGACTTCAAATCTCAATCCTCCTGATCACTGCCTCCTGAGTAGCTGGGATTACAGGTGTGAGCCACAGGCACTTGGCTAATATTTGGCCTTTTAAACTTTGCTTATCTTTCTTAGCTTGATGATCTCCCATTCTATCCATTTTCCTGCAAATGACATAATTTCATTTTTCTTTATGCCTCGAGTAAGTATAGTCTTCCATGTAAATTTGCCTATAGGCTCAGAATGCTTTGCTACCTCACTATGAGTTTGTACCTCACTGATATTTTAAAGAATAAATGACAGCCAGGAAGGTAGCTCAGTAGTAGAACACGGACTTGGCATGTGGCCCTGGTTCAATCCTTAGCACTGTAAAATAATAATAATAATAATAATATAACAAAAAATAGATTAGCCTAAAGGATTAAGTTCTTAAAATGTGGTACTTCACAGATTGCAGCTTTCAGTGTCCTATGAATGAATGGTTGCTGAGGTAAGGGTATGGAATTAAAATTGAATTTAATTTCTGTGTTATCTTGTAGCAGGAGAACTCGGGCAGGTTACTAATGTCTCTTAATTCTCCATTTTTCTTTACAGGCCCATTGTTAGCATTAAGTGTCTGGTCCTTGCAATCTTTTTTCTCTTTATCCTCAGCAGTGTAAACTAGATGTATTTTATTTATGTAGAATGCCCCTTTATTTTATTTTCAGAATCATCTAAAAGAAATTGAACACAATCTCTCTAAAATAATGAGACTTGACAATGAAATTAAAGCCTTGGATAGCCGAAAAAAGCAAATGGAGAAAGATAACAGTGAACTGGAACAGAAAATGGAAAAGGTTTGTGGTAGTAGAATTTTGTTCTACTTAAAAATTTTAGGATTATTGTAATGCACCTCATTTGAACCAGTTTTGCCACTCACATTTTGGAAAACAGAAATACAAATCTTAATGTTTATGATACTTCTATGTATATGTTAACTTGAAGGATATTTGATGTCAGTATATTAAGACCTCAAAGTGTTTTATCTTCCTTTTTTTCTTTTTTATTAGTGTGTATTGAGTTGTGCAAAGAGGTTTCATTGTGATACTTCCATACATGCATATAATGTACTTTGATCAAATTCACCCCCCATTACTCCTTCTTATCCCTCTCTCCCTCTTTTATACAATATTTAATGAGTTTCATTATTCTGTTGTCATACCTGTGTATGAAGTGCTTTGATCATAATCACCCCACCCTTCTCCCTCTCCTTTCATCCTTCACCTTTCTGCTGGTTTCTATCCCCTGAAAGCCCGTCACACAATTTACACACAGGTCTTTATTTTTTAAGGTCTAGATTTCACATAAGGGCAAGAACATGCAACATTTGTCTTTCTTAGTCTTGCTTATTTCCCTTAACGTAATTTCCAGTTCCATTTTCCTGCAAATGACTTGATTTATTCTTTATGGCCGAATAATACTCCTTTGTATGTATATATGTATATGTGTTATGTGTGTCTGTATGTCTGTATATCGTATTTTCTTTATCCATTCATCACTTGAGGTACATCTAGGCTGATTACATAGTTTGGCTTCTGTGAGTAGTGCTATTGTAAACATGAGCATGCAGGTGTCTCTGTTGTATACTGACTTGGATCTGTGCCCAGGAGTGGTATAGCATGATCACACAGTAGTTCTATTTTTATGTTTTCGAGGAGCCTCCATATTGATTTCCATAGTGGTCGCACTCATTTACATTTCTCCCTGCAAAGTATAAGGATTCCTTTCCTCCCACATCCTTGCCAATCTCTCTTGGTTTTTTTGTTTGTTTGTTTGTTTTTTGACATAGCCATTCTGACTGAGGTGAGAGGGAATCTCAGTATAGGTTTAATTCGCATTTCCTTCATGGCTAAGAATGTTGAACGTTTCTTCATGTATTTATTGGCCATTTGTACTTATTTTTTAAATTGTTTAATTCATTTGCCTATTAATTGGATAGTTTGTTCTTTTAGTGTTTTAATTTTTGGAGTTCTTTATATACTCTGGATATTAATCATTCATCCATTGAATAGCTGGCAAAGATACTTCCCTCATTCTGCAAGTTGTCTATTGATTCGGATAGTTTTTTCCTTTGCCTTGTAAGCTTTTTAATTTGGTCTTATCTCCTGAGAAATTGGAGCCTAGTCAGAAAGATGTTACCTATGCCTATATCCTCAAGGGTCTTCCTTATGTTTTCCTCTAGTAATTTCAAAGTTTCAGGTCTTACATTTAGATCTTTGATCCATTTTGAATTAATTTTTGTGCAAGATAAGAAATGGGGGTCTGACTTTAGTCTTCTACATGTAGCCATACAGTTTTCCCAACAAACATTTGCTGAAGAGCCTATCTTTTTTCCACTGTATGTTTTTGGTGCCTGTGTCAAAACTCAGATAGCTGTAGCTGTGTCAGCTTATTTCTGGGTCTTCTATTCTTTTTTTTTTTTACCATATTCTTTTTTTTTTTTAACCTTTGGTGTATTGCAGCACTTTGTACTACACAATGATGCATTGCTGGGGCTTAATGTTCTCATGTAATAGTAGAAAACCAATATTTGTTGTCATCTCTTAAAGAATGGAGTACAAAAAACCTTACATAAATTAAAAGAAAGAATAAATTTACAGGTGTAAATGCAAAGTTTCCAGCTCAAGGCAAGTAACAATAAGGGCAGAAACTGGGTCCTACAGCTTGGACTTTACCACCCTTTTAGATCTACAAGATGGAAATGACAACTGATTTGGGAACTCTTGCTACCCTTGAGAAGTGGGTCTTTTGTTTCATTATGTCTGCCTTTTTGCTAATATCATACTGTGTTAGTTACTATGACTCCGTAGTATAATTTAAAGTTAGGTATTCTGATATCTCTAGCATTGCTCTTTTTGTTAATTATATCATCTTTTATTTACATATTAAATCTTTTTTATTTTTGTGTTATACAGGTTTTTCAAGGGACTGATGAGCAACTAAATGACTTGTATCACAATCACCAGAGAACAGTAAGGGAGAAAGAAAGGAGATTAGTGGACTGTCAGCGTGAACTAGAAAAATTAAATAAAGAATCTAGACTTCTTAATCAAGAAAAATCAGAACTACTTGTTGAACAGGGTAAGACAAAGTGTTTGCTTTTTTTCCTCCCATAGTACACATTTTCTGCATGAATGAAGACTCTCCAGGAAATTATACTGCATGAAAAAAGCCCGTCTCAAAAGGTTAGGTAGAGTATGCTTCTATTCATATAACATTTTTGAAATATTAAAATTTAAGAAGTAGTGCTTGCCAGGGATACCAGGTAGATGGCAGAACAGGAAGGTGTTATGGTTATAGAAGAGCAGCAAGAGGATTTATTTTATTTTAGAAGTATCATACATTAATAGTATAATGTATAATAGTATAAGATGATTTCATTGTGATAATTCCATACACGCATTCAGTGTACTTTGAACAAATTCACCCCCTCCGTTATATTTCCATTCCCCCGTCTCTCCTTCTCCCTTTTTTAGTGTTTCATGGGTTTTATTATGCTGTTGTTAATAAGAGGATTCTTATGCTGAAACTAACTATTCAGTATCTAGACTGTTGTGGTGGGTAGATTTACCTACACAACTGATAATTGATTGATGAATTATATCAATGTAAATAACCTGATTGTGATATTTTACTGCAGTTTTGCAAATGTTTGTTTCCATTGGAGGAAAATGGGCAGAGTATCTTAAGATATCACACTGTATTATTTTTTACAACTGCATGTGAATCTACAGTTATCTCAGTTTTTTTAAAGATCATTGGAAAGAATAATTATTAGTGGTTTTTTTGTTTTTTTTTAAGGTCGACTACAGCTACAGGCAGATCGCCATCAAGAACATATCCGAGCTAGAGATTCATTAATTCAGTCTTTGGCAGCACAGCTAGAATTGGATGGTTTTGAGCGTGGACCATTCAGTGAAAGACAGATTAAAAATTTTCACAAGCTTGTTAGAGAGAGACAAGAACGAGAGACAGAAACTGTCAGTCATCTGAGGGTAAGTATTTTCTAGTAGAGGGTTTGCTGTTTTCTTTTGTTTCAGATTCTGTAGGTGGTTTATTTTTTTTAATTTGTGGATTTACCCTACTTTGGCATATTTTTAGATTAGTATCAGGATAGAATCTGCTGTAAGGTAGAAAAAAACCTTTATGAAAGCAGGTTTTTAAATTTAATAAGGCTAAAATATGATGAAAATGTAGGCCTACCTTTTTTATGATTCTGTTAGCATATAGTAGTTGTAATAGGCCTACATTTTTATTTTATTTACATTTTATTTGATTTTAAGTGAAATTTAAATTATCTCTGAGTGGTGCTTTTTACATTGCAAAAAATAAATTTATATTTTCTTCAGTATACAGATACTACTTTTGTAATGAAGAAACTTTCTTAATGAATTGTTTAGTGAAAAAATTATTAACACATTCTCACATATGTGTTTAGAATGACTTTGCAGAAAAAGAAACTCTGAAACAAAAACAGATAGATGAAATAAGGGATAAGAAAACTGGACTGGGAAGAATAATTGAGCTAAAATCAGAAATCCTAAATAAGAAGCAGAATGAGCTGAAAAATGTGAAGTATGAATTACAGCAGTTGGAAGGATCTTCAGACAGAATTCTTGAACTGGACCGGGAGCTCACAAAAGCTGTAAGCTGTGCTTAAATAATCTAATAATCTTAAAGTGTAAGACATTTAGAATCTTGCATTCTTCAGTGGCACTTTAATAGTCAACCTTGTCTATTATCTCATGTAAAATGAACTTACCTAAATATCTTGATCACCCAACTCTTTGGTTCTTGAAATGACAGGTTGAAAATTATAGTCACCTAGGGAACTTTTATTGGAGGGAGGAGGGTACTGGGGTTGAAGTCAGGTCTTTGTACTTGCTAGGCACTCTACCACTTGAGCCATACCTCCAGTTCCACTTAGTGAACTTTTAAAAAGATACCTGTGCTCAGACCCTAAAGCTTCAGACCTTCCAAGTCAAAATCTCCTGAGAGTGTGGCATGCAAATGTATATTCTAAACACAACAAAACTATATGTTTATTGTGAGCACGTTGGTTAAGAACCGCTTCCCTAAGTGTTTTTCTTTAGGTTTCACAGTGTAATTTTACGATTTTTGCCTTATTACCACTGTTTCTGTGATGAGCAAACTTTCTTTGCCAATCTCTTTAAGAATTTCCAAATTTTCTTTCTTGCTTCTAATCTGTCCTCTTCCTTCACATCTCTATTGCCAAAGTAAGCATCCTAAACTTTGACAAATCCTCTGTTAAATCCCATCTTGATAGTTTAAATAAACACTAATTTTTCTCCTTAATTCACCATTGTAGTACACATTTTGTTAGTTTGGCACTTTATCACACTATTATCTTGTTGAGATGGGGAAACAGCAGTCAGGGACCACATCACACTTTTTGTATTAGCTACATGCCAAAAAATATAGCAAATTACGCTGGAATTAAATGAATACTTAATGTTTGACTGGGAGTCATTGTATACATACATACACATATTTCTCCTAGTTTTCTCTAATTCTCATTTTTCCTTTGTTTGAACCTTCTAGGTTTACTTACTGATTCTCTATCATTATATCCTAGTAAGGTAACTTTAATAAAATTTTTCCTAACGCATATATAGCTTTATTTTTTCTCCTACTGGTACAAGCAAATAGTAATGTTTTTACTTTTGAAAAGTAATTTGGAAGATACTTTGTCATTGTTTGAATTCTGACATGAAATATGTAAACCTGTGCATTTGTTTGAATTATTGATTAGGAACGTGAGCTAAGCAAGGCTGAGGAAAACAGCAATGTAGAAACCCTAAAAACAGAAGTAACACGCCTTCAAAATGAGAAGGCAGACCTAGACAGGACCTTGCGGAAACTGGACCAGGAGATGGAGCAGTTAAATCATCATACGACAACCCGCACCCAGATGGAAATGCTGACCAGAGACAAAGTATGGTTTTTCTTTTTGTTCTAATTACTCTGTCTGGTATTTAAACATAGATTATTTTTTATTCATAAATGATAGAATATGAAGTATTGGTTTGGAATTGACTTCATGTTTAAAGATTAAAGGAGCTTAATACTCTTATAAAATAGACTTTTAAGCTCAAAAGTTTTTGGGTTTTTTTTTCCTGTGTTTTTTTTTTGAGTCAGTCTCACTACATTGCCTAGGCTGGCCTCTCACTCCAGGTTCAAGCAGTCCTGCCTCAGTCTCCCAAGTAGCTGGCATTATAGCATACCTGGAAAAAGTTAATTTTAATTACAAAAAGTACAAAAGTACAGCATATAAACAACGCACATGTACATTTCTGTTCATTTTTATATCATTAGAATTGTTACTCTTTGGCTTAGAGAGGCTATCCACACTCCAGTATATTAAGAAATTATGTAGTTTCTTATTGCATTTTTGTAATTTTATTTTTTTTAATCAAGAACTTTAGTCAGTTTAGAATTTATTTCTTCATATGATATGGTTTGATTTTTAAAAGTTTGGGTTTCTTGTTGCTGTCGTTGTTTGTTTTACCAATAGGCTGACAAAGATGAACAAATCAGAAAAATAAAATCTAGGCACAGTGATGAACTAACTTCACTGCTGGGATATTTTCCCAACAAGAAACAACTTGAAGACTGGCTTCATAGTAAATCAAAAGAAATTAATCAGACCAGGGACAGACTTGCCAAATTGAAGTAAGTAGTTGCAACATTCTAATAAAAATCTCATGCTTCATGCTTTTGTTTTAATTGTTTTAAAACAATTTGTTGCGCTGGAGGCAGGTATGGCTTAAGTGGCAGAGTGCCTGCCTAGCAAGTGCAAAGCCCTCATTTCAAACCCCAGCATCCCCCACCCCAGTACAGGAAACAATTGTTGTCATGAAACAGTACGTCATAATAATTGAACTGTTATTTTGCGTTTTAAATAAAAGTGTATGAATAGTGACCCGGGCCTCTTGTCCCGTAAAAATTTGTGAATCTAAATAACAGGTTTTAAAATCCTAAAATTCCCATTTCTTTTTTGTGAATAATCTTCATTATAAAGAGTGATCATTTTTCTCAGGTACTACCTTAGATTTGGATAAGAGGATCAAAATTTCATGCAGATTTTTGAAGATGACAGTAGATTTGGCTATGGCCACATTAAATTTGGGGGAAGGGAGAGCTTATTTTTTGTTTGTTTTTGTTTTTTTGAGATAGGGTCTTGCTATGTAGACTATGCTAGTCTCAAACTTGAGATTTTCCTGCCTTGACCTCCCAGGTACTGGGATTACAGATGTGCACCACTGTACCCAGCTCAAATTTGTTTCTTGTGGAAGGATCTTTTAGGGAATAGAATATTGAACTTTGAAGTTCAGGAGATTGAGAGTTGTTGCTATGTAAGGAGTATTCAAAGTCATTAGTATGAGCCATGTCACCTTGAGAGAGTTATACAAAGAGAAGAGATGTTTGGGAAACACCAGTGTTTAAAATGTTGGTAGTATCCAGGCATGGTGGCACAAGCCAGTAATCACAGCTTCTCAGGAGGCAAAAATCAGGAGGACAGCAGCTTGAGACCAGCCCAGGCAAAAGTTAGTGAGACTCCCATCTCAACAAATAAGCTGGGCATGGTATTTCAAGGCTGTAGTGCCAGCCATGTGAGCGGCATAGGTAGACAGATTGAAGTCTGAGACTGGCCCTGGATAAAAATGAGAGACTGTATCTAAAAAACAACTAAAGCAAAAAATAAAGGGCTGGGGGCATGGTTCAAGTGGTAGCATGCTTTTCTAGCAAGCTCTGGGTCCTGAGTTCACATTTGAGTACTGACAACAAATGAATGCATAAATAAATAAAAATTAAAATGTTGATAGTCTAAGGAAAAGGAGCAATGGAAGCCGGAACTACCCAGGGGAACAGAGTGAGAGCCAACCACAAATCTCCTTGAATGGCTTGATAGTGTTTGGTGCTTCTTAGAGGTACAGTAGGATGAAGGCTGCCCTTGGTACTTATGTCATTGACAAGCTTGATGAGACGTGCTCAGTGGAGCCTAGGATGATGAAAGTATTGTCTATATCAGTTTTGTTTTTTTTTTCCAAAATTTTTACTGTGACTTACAGTGGGTAGTGTAATGAAGCTCATGTGCACTCATTTATCTGAAGTACATTTCTCAAAATAGTACCTCTGTGTACCACCTAGTCCAATATATTGCATTCTTATCTTTTATTTTTAAGAATATACTGAGTACAATGCACTAAGTTGATTCCATGGCTTACTGGTGCATCATAACCTGCAAATTGAAAACTGATATGTGGAGCACTGAGGTTGGCTAGGATGGTGTTTAAGATTTGGGGTGGAGGTATATTACACTAGTAAGCAAAATCTCTGGTGAATGAAGGGGAATGGGTGATGTGGCATAAGTAGATGACAGCAACATGAAGGGGACAAAGGAAAAGTTTTTATAGGAGAGTAGGGAAGTAAGATTGTGAAAGGGACCAGAAACAATTAGGAAAATGCTCTTCTGCTCTCTTCTTTCCCTCCAGTGGACCCAGCAAGCACCTTCTGCTTGCTGAGGCTCCTAACCTGTAATCTAATACCATGAATCTTCAGAAACCAGGCAGAGTTCTGCTGTATACATTTTTCTGGAAGCAGGCCCAGGATCAGAATTATTAAGCAAGTCAGTATTCTAGGGGGTATGCATTAAGCTAGAGTGAACTGTTGCTGTGACTTCTGAAGTATTTGCAAGACTGAGGTATAGTTCAGGTGGTGGTAGAGCACATGTGAGGCCCTAAGTTCTAATACCCAGTACCACCAAAAAAAATAAAAGTATTTGGGCTGGGGGTGTAGCTAGGTGATATAGCCTGTGCTTAACATACTCAAGGCCCTAAGTATAATCCCCAGGACCAAAAACTAGGTGAATAGCCACATGCCAATGCATGTAATCCTGTCTACTTGGGAGGTTGAGATGAGGAGGATTGCGGTTCAAGACCAGTCCAGGCAAAAGTTCTCAAGACTCCACCTCAACAAATACCTAGGCACAGTGGTGTGTACCTGTCATTACTGCTACGTGGGAGGCTGAGATCAGGAGAATTGAGGTTCCAGGCCAGCCCAGGCAAAAAGTTAAAGTTCTGAAGAACCCATCTCAAAGGTAAACAGCTGGGTGTGCTGCATATGCCTGTCATCCCAGCTAAGACGGGGAGCCAAAATAGGATCATGGTTCAGGCTGACTTGAACAAAAACTGAGACCCTATCTCATAAAATAACCAGAGAGATAAAGGGAAGAGGAGAAGGGCTGAAGGTGTGGCTCAAGCAGTAGAGCCAGGTTTGAAGTGCCAGCAAAAAAATAAACAAATAAAAACACTTAGAAAAGTATTTGGTCATACCAGACCCTTGTAATGATTTTTCACAGTTTGTTTTATATCTGCCTACTCAAATTTTTCTCATGTTTTCAAATTAATCCATATTTGTTTTTATTTTAGCAAGGAACTAGCTTCTGCTGAGCAAAACAAAAATCATATAAATAATGAGTTAAAAAGAAAGGAAGAGCAGTTGTCCAGTTACGAAGACAAGCTGTTTGATGTTTGTGGTAGCCAGGATTTTGAAAGTGATTTAGACAGGCTTAAAGAGGAAATTGAAAAATCCTCAAAACAGCGAGGTAAGCTACCTATACTTTGTATTATCAAGACACTTTGACACTTTTGAATTTTCATTCACAGGTAACCATATTAAAGAATGGAAATTTTAAAACCTTGTTATGTTTTGGAATCCAGTGGCTTAATCCTACCTGTACAATTCACCGTGTGACTTTGGGACTATATCATACCTTTTGAAAGAAGATTTAAATACCAGATAATTTTTACTTTATTTGTAATATGTATAAAGCAAGAAGAATAATTATATTTATGAAAGAAAATGTATGTTTTTGTCACTGGAAATTTGTTTATTTTCTTAAAATAGCTATGCTGGCTGGAGCCACGGCAGTTTACTCCCAGTTCATTACTCAGCTAACAGATGAAGACCAGTCCTGTTGCCCTGTCTGTCAGAGAGTTTTTCAGACAGAGGCTGAACTACAAGAAGTCATCAGTGATTTGCAGTCTAAGCTGAGGCTTGCTCCAGATAAACTCAAGTCAACAGAATCAGAGCTAAAGAAAAAAGAAAGGCGGCGTGATGAAATGCTGGGGCTTGTGCCCATGAGGTGAGATTAGGGGTTTATCATTACTATACATGTAGCAACTGCACTGTAAAAGGTATCCATACAGTGCCTGGCATATGGTAGATACTTGTAAGAATGTGTGGAAAGAATAAAAATTAAAGTCAGGATTCCTAGCCAGTATTACCTATCTATCTCATGTTGTTTATATATTATAATAGAAGAAACAATGATGTTGAAATGTAAGCACGTTTCTTAAACTAGTCATGCAGTAGGTATAGTCTTTACATTTGTGTATTGTGTGCACATGTATGTGCTTGTGCATATGTCTAATTCCTGAGACTTGGCTTGAGGGCATACTTTATGACAGGTTTAGAACTGTTTGTTGACATGTTACTTTCAAAACCCAACAGAGTACTGAAAAGCTCTTTTAAAAGATAATTTTTAAATTATATTTTTATGTCTTTCCTACTTTCAAAAAGATGAATCAGATTATTTCTGTTATTTTCCCACACATGTACACAAAATTTAGATAGTACTCTGTTTATAAATAAAATCAAGTGAGAAAACATGTAATGATTGCCCTGGTATCTCCCACAACATAGAGCACAAGGCTGGCCACAGAGACCCAGTAATACATAGTCCACTAGGATCTGATGATCTAATTAAGGAGTACTCTGAAGTACTTAAAAATGGTTCAACAAATGCTTTAGTTAAGAACAAAAGAACTGGGGGGGGAAGGGAGGGCAGGGTACAAGAATGAGAAAAGAATTTTGAGAGTGAGGCAGGAAGGGGGATATAAAGCCTAGAGAAGTTGGTTTGACTCAGTTAAGAAGAGGAAAGGGCAGTGGGAAATTTGAACCATGTGCAGAAGGAAGGGGAGTATGACCTGCAACCAAAATGTTATCTGGGTTGTGAGGAATTATTTATAGGGATTGTTTCCCATAAGTTTGGAAAATAGCATTATATATTCAGATCTAGTTTTAACACTCTCTGATAGGTGATAAGGAGCCAGCCTAAGGGATTTAGTGAAATATGTATTTTAGGAAAATTAATCTGTAATATATTGAGTGGATCAGGGTGAGAAAATCTCTGGAAGCAGAAAAACCAGGAGAATATATTGTCCAGGAAAACCAAGGAAGAGTTTCTGAAAAAGGAGAATGAAAGATGTAAGAAGATAGGCTTTGTGGCAGCCAGCTTCTAAGGTGGTCCCCAGTGGTCTCTGCCTCCTGATGTTCATGTATAGTCTCTTCTCGTGTCCTTGCAGGATCAGTCTGTGTAACTGATAAAATAGGACAGATGTGATAGCATGTTCTTCCAAGATTATGTTCTCTAAGGTTCTGTGGCTGTCCCCTCTCCTCTCCTTCCCAGTCTTTCCTGTTCTGAGCAGCCCTGAGGAGAGGCCCAGTATCAGGAGAACCTTTGAACAAGTGAGTTTAGAAGCTGATTTTGTAGCAGTCAGCCTTGAGATGACTACAGCTCCAGCAGACAGCTCAACTGTGCTATGAGAGATCCTGTGTTAGAAGCTCACCTCTGAATTTTTGTATCATTGAGAAGTAGTAAGTGCTCTCATTTTAGCTGGTCAGTTTTAGGGTATTTTGTTATGCAATGGTAGATAACTACTGCAACTTCAAGAATGAAAACCAGATTATTGAGGGCACAGAGAGAATATGATAAGGGGATAGAGCAGTAGTTTGAGAGTGAAAAGGAAGAAGAATAAGGTATCAAATAAAAACTAAAACTTGAAGTTGATTGAAAGTGTGCGTAGAGGAAAATGAAGCTGTTGATTGTTAGTTCTGTTGTGCTGATTTTTTTTTTTTTATGGTGCTGGGGTTTGAACTGAGGACCTTGCACTTGGCTAGCACTCTACCATCTGAGCCATTCCACTAGTTCTCACTTACTTTTGAGACACAGTCTGGCTAATTTTTTTTTTTTTTTGGTGGTTTTTTTTTTGGCCAGGCTGGCCTTGACCTGTGATCTTTCTGTCTCTACCACCTATATAATTAAATGTCATAAAAATGAAAAATAGTAATAATAAACCCATAGAACACTTACGATTCTCAGTAGCGCATTCTCTAGGGAAGTTTCTTTAGTTTTTTAAAATTTTAGCATCTTCGGTCTGTTAGCAAAAATTAGTCACCAAAACCTGAACCACATTGATGAAGGGTTTTTGTGTATGTGAGAATGTGTAAAAGTAGGATTAAAATTGTATGTATGCCTGTCGTTTCCCACAAAGATGTCCCCAGTTAAGTAATTGCTAGACCATTACTAGCTTGTGACCACAGTATTTTGGAGTAATAGAAGCACATAGAATTACTGCTCACAGTCTGTATTCCTTCATATGTGTCCACATCTGCAATAAGAACTCTTCTTATTTCTGTGGTATAAGAAATTACAAGTCTGTTGGCACAGATGATTTCATGTTGGCATTTCTTGGTCAGTGTGCAAATAACAGTTGCACACAGTATCTACCAATAGATACTAAAATCAGTGGGCAGAGGATTGAGAGCAGAATATTTGAATATTCTCTTTGTATCTCCTAAGATTTTTCTTTAATTGCAAAGAAAAACTAGTAACTTTCTGAGAAAACATCAGACAGAATGTTTTTAATTGTTTGTTTTCTGCTAAGGCAAAGTATAATTGATTTGAAGGAGAAAGAAATACCAGAATTAAGAAACAAACTGCAGAATGTCAATAGAGACATACAACGCCTAAAGAATGACATAGAAGAACAGGAAACCCTCTTAGGTACAATAATACCCGAAGAAGAAAGTGCTAAAGTATGTCTGACAGATGTTACAATTATGGAGAGGTTCCAGGTAAGTTTATTATAGTTTAAGGCAGAATAAAGTTGTTTCATGGTAACTTTAATGTGAAATGAGAGAGTGTTAAAAAAACAGTAGCTACTTTTCAGATAAAGAGTATGTTTGGAATTCAGAGAGCAACTGATTTGTTTACATTCCTGGGTTTAAATTGTTTTATTCACAAAACTATGAAAATTAAGATATAATTGTGTTTTTCATTTTCTATCAGCTTTATTTTGCTTACCTCATTTGAATTGCAAAAAATTAACTTCACTTTAAGCCTATTAAACTTTGCTTTAAAAGGTTTTGAATGATAGTAATGAGTAGTTTCTTAGAAGAAATAACCTTTATTTTATTTTTATTTTTGGCAATACTGTGAATTGAACTCAGGGCCTTACGCTTGCTAAGTAGACGCTCTACCACTTCAACCATTCCACCAGCCCTTAATTATTTTTTTCCTCCTAATTTTTTTTTATCTTCTATTAGATGGAACTTAAAGATGTTGAAAGAAAAATTGCACAACAAGCAGCTAAACTACAAGGAATAGACTTGGACCGAACTGTTCAACAAGTTAATCAGGAAAAACAAGAAAAACAACACAAATTAGATACAGGTAATCTATTTCCTTGTGTACCTGTAACAACTTCAACATCGCTAGTACGTGCAATGTTTTGTAACTGTTGCATGGACAAAGAACTTTCTTCCTTCCAGCCACAGAAGATTCATTCTCTTTTCTCAAAAGCATTGCTTTGACTTCTTTCTTTGTTTCCTTGCTTTGCGCATAGATTTGGAATGGTAGGAGAGTGTCAGATGAGCTGTACTCTTTCTCAGTCATACCTACTTGCTTGTGAGCTTCTCTTGTGAGTGTCGGGGGGGGGTACAGCAAACAGGTTTAGGGGTTAGAAGGTTTCTTACACTCTTGTTGTAGGTGGTGGGGCCCACAGAAATTTAGCCTTCATTAATTCCATAGGGCTGTAAAAACTAGGATAATACTAATAGCATTTTCTGTGCCCTTACATTAAGCACTATTCCAATGTTTTTGTGTAGTTTCTAGTAAGATTGAATTGAATCGTAAGCTTATTCAGGACCAGCAGGAACAAATTCAACACCTAAAAAGTACAACAAATGAACTTAAATCAGAGAAACTTCAGATATCCACTAATTTGCAACGTCGTCAGCAACTGGAGGAGCAGACTGTGGAATTATCTACTGAAGTTCAATCTTTATACAGAGAAATAAAGGTAAGAACATACATGTTTGTTTAAATTCGTTCAAATACATGCAATCTTCTTGATTGGTACAGTGGCCAGAACTATGGTTATGGTAAGGATCAAATGAAATAGTATAGTAATTCTTTGTGTGGTTCCTGAGTGACAGAATAGGTAAAGATTGCTGGAAGAAGGAGTTTGAGTATGATAAACAAGAAGCAACTGCCTGGCAGTTGGTGATTGGATAACCATATAGGGATTCCTGCTTCTGTAGGAGTTTCGTGTTATCTGTAAATACTATTTCTGCAACAGACATTCACTGTCATTGAACTGTTTCCTCTGCATTCATGATGTGGTCTCAGAATCCTTAACCAATACAACAAGCAGGTCTGTGTTGCCACATGTACTGGAATGCACTTATTAGGCTTTATCTAGATCAATCAAATCAATTAAATTTATGAAGTTTTAACTATAACAATCTTACCAAATTTTTCCCTAATGATATCCACTCATTCAGGGTTTCTCTGATGGGTTACTCTGGATGCCTCTTTCTTAAATAATTTTGGATTATAATTTATCAGAGGCTTAGACTATAATAAAATAGTACTACATAACATTAGTTTTATTTCTTACTATTTATCAGTCACTTTGACATTAAAACATATAGTGTCTCAGCAGCTCTATTGAGATAGGTGACTAAGTCTTTTTATAGAAAAAGAAATTGAGATTTACAAATAAGTTTTCCAAATTCATGCACCAGATAGGAAGCAGGGTTGATTTTCAGATCAACCTTCTAGTACTTCCCACCACTTCCCAGTGTGAGAAAACGTACCTACATAACTCTACTAAATAATTGTACTAATTAGTATTGTATTAATCTTTATAGATTCAATAGATAACTCAGGATCTTAAGGTGCTTGAACAGTGGCTATCATATAAATATAGAGATGTTACAAAGACTAAATATTGGGAACTTCTGATCAATAAAATAGTTTCCAGTACTTGAATGCCCCCTCCCTTCCAGAACAGGTGTGAACACACTCATCAGTAATGTACCAGTATGCTGTCATTACCATAAAATTACTGTTGAGTAGACTTAAGCTTAAGTACAGAGGTGTTTTTACCATCATATTTCCATCTGTAAAAGAGAATTCTGGATTGAATAAACTTTCCTATTTGATCACCCAGCTCTGACCTAGATACCTGTTAACTTCATGAAAATTCATGCCTAAACAAACATCATACTATAATTGGGAACACATGGCCTAAACTAAGAATCAAGTCAGAGGCTTAGGCAGTGTTGCATAGTGAATTGAGAGAATCAACTCTGGAGCTGGACTGTGTTAGAATCTTGGCTGCATCATTTACTGTTGTGAACCTGGACAAATCATTCTTTGTGCCTGTTTGCTCCTTTGAAATACAGGGATGGAAATAATGGTACCTTCCTTATAGGACTTTCAGAAGGAGAAAATGATTGACTCTAAAGCCTGGCACATAGAAAATGCTTTTAATGACTATCAAGTCTGACACCTAAAATAAGATAATAGAGATAAGACTTTTATGTTTTTTTATGTTTTTAGGATGCTAAAGAGCAGGTAAGCCCTTTGGAAACAACATTGGAAAAGTTTCAACAGGAAAAGAAGAAATAATCAACAGAAAACAAACAAGCATCAAAATAGCAGAGGATAAAGTAAGATTTCATTTATGTATTTACTTCTCAGATATCTATATTAAACTTATTCATAGCACTGTTCATTTGCTACATCCTTAGCCCTCATGATATAATTTTGACATTAGAATTATTTGTTCAAATAAGGATTAAACTTAAAATATTTTGCTTCTTGATCTAAAATAGAAGTTAAGAATTGAGACTATTTAATCCATCTCCATTGGCGATAAAGGGACTTATCTGAGATCATAAAATTTGGTAGTGGTACAAACTGGAACCCCAGGTCCTTAACTTGAAGCCAGCCTTTTGCTGTGCTCACCTATTAAGTGTCCTTCTACCATCCAGTGTAAATTTATCTTTCCAGCTACATGATGTCAACGAGAAGGTTAAAAATATTCATGGTTATATGAAAGACATTGAGAATTATATTCAAGATGGAAAAGATGACTATAAGAAGGTAATTTAAAACTTAAAATTATTTATTTGGTTATATTTTTATTTCATGTGCTTAAAGAATTTTTCTTTTTTGTAGCAAAAAGAAACTGAACTTAATAAAGTGGTAGATCAAATAAATGAATGTGACAAACACAAAGAAAAGATAAGTAAAGAAATGGGAATCATGAGACAAGATATTGATACACAGAAGGTAGGTGTTTTTTGCTCATAGCATCACTTATATATGTAATGTTCTTTTCTATACTTAGTGTTGTTATAATAGGTCCATTGAGTGGAAATGCAAATAGAGAAAAGCAGTTCCAATAACATACTCTTTTCTTTGTTTTTCATTTTTCGGTATAAGGTCTACATGACAGACCATGTTTAAACATAAAGATATAAAATGAAAAGTATCCCTTTGCTTCTACTTCCTAATCTCATTCCTGAATGTCATTACTGTTAGTTTCTTGTTTGTTCTTAGAGTTTTTATTCATATATCAGCAGTAGATAAGTTTAGGTTTGTGTGTGTGTATGTGTGTGTGTGTGCATGTTTAAATTTACTTTTACAGATGGAATCATACCATTCATGTTATTTTGTACCTTTTGTCATTTAGCATAATTGGATCTTATGTATCAGCTCACAGATATATCACATTCTTTTTTTTTTTTTTTACTTTATTTTTAATTTTTGAGACAAGGTTTTGATAACCCAGACTGACCTCAAACTTGTGATCCTTCTGCCTCAGCAGCTTGAATACTGGGGTTACAATGTACACCACCATGCCCAAATACATTCTTTTCAATGATTATAAAATATCTCATTTTGTGTATGTACTATAACTTACATAGGTTGATTACTCTTTTTTTTTTTTTTGGTGGTACTGGGGTTTGTACTCAGGGCCTCACGTTTGCTAGGCAGGCACTCTACCACTTGAGCCTCTCTGCCAGCCCTTTTTTGTATTGGGTATTTTCGAGGTAGGGTCTTGCAAACTATTTGCCCAGAGCTGACTTTGAACCATGATCCTCCTGATCTCTGCCTGCTGAGTAGCTAGGATTATAGGCAGGAGTCACAGGTGCCCAGCTGTTGATTGCTTTTCTCCTTATTGCAAACTATAAGGCAGTGAATATCCTACATGTATCTGTATGTTTTCTTACTCTCACATAGCTTTATGTAGGATAAATTCTCAAGAGGGATTAAGGTCTAATGTATTCTTAAAAATTATCTGTAAAGAAAATACCTATAATATTAAATCATTTTGTGGTTGGTTCCTATATCACTATTTTCTCTTAAGGAAATTAATTTTTCCAAAATATAATTAAAATCATATCAAGAAGCTATCTTCAAAATGAATTATGCAGGCATGGTAGTCAGTGTCTTTGAAAGCTACATCATTTCTCTCTTCCTGCTATCTGCTTTAATCACTTGGTTATGGGTCTTGGTTAAATATCTCTTTAAAGGGTCAGGGGTGTAGCTCAATAGACTGCTTGCCCAGTTTGTGGGCAGCCCTGGATTTTTTTCTCCTGTGTGTAAAAACAAAATCCCCCACAAAACTCTTTGAAGATTGGCCAGATCAGCTTTCTGCTGGGTATCTGGCTGTATCACCAGGAATTTTAAATATATGAAATATCAATGAAATGTATTCTGGAGTCTCTGCCTGATCTAACACATCTGATATCTACATACACTTACGATGTTTATATTATAAAATACTTACCACTAGCTTATATGTGGATTGGCTATGTAAAAATCACAATGTATGGCACAATCTATACGTAATAGTTATGTGTGTGCATGCACATACATACATTTTATATACACACACACATACACATACATATATGTAAGTAATGCTTTTGCCAAACCCTCCATCTGTGGACTTGTAGAATGCCTTATTCATCATCATGGTATTCCATACAACATGGCCTCTGACAACCAAAAAACCACATCAGTGGGCTCATGCTCATGGAATTCACTTGTCTTACCCTTCATCCTGAAGCAACTGACTTGATAAAATCATGACATAGCCTTTTGAAGTCACATTTATAGTGTGCCAGCTAGGTGACAATGCTTTGCAAGGCTGTATATGCTCTGAATTAGTGATCAGTATGTGATACAGTTTCTTTATAGCTAGGATTCACAGGTTCAGGAATTAAGAGGAGGAACTGTAAGTGTCACCACTCACCATTACCCCTAGTAACGTACTAGCAAATTTTTTTCTTCCTGTTCCCATGACTTTATTCTCTGCTGGCTTAGAAGTCTTAGTTCCAGAAGGAGGAATGCTGCCACCAGGAGGCAAAACAATGATTCTGTTAATCTGGAAGTTAAGCCACTGTAGGCTACTTATGCCTCTGAGTCAGCAGGCTAAAGCAGGGAGTTACAGTATTAACTGGAGTGACTTAATCCAGACTACCAAGGGTTAATTGGGCTACTATTCCATAATGCAGGTAAGGAAGAGTTACAGGACTCGAGATCCTTTAAAGTATCTCTTGGTTTCACCATGCCCTGGAATTAAGGTCAATTGGGAAATTACAAAAGAATCTAGACTAGACTACAAATGGCCCAGACCCCTCAAGAATGAAGTTTTGAGTCACCACATCATATAACGAACCATGACCAGCTGAGGAGCTTGCTGAAGGAAACAAAACAAAAAGATCTGTGAAAGAAGGTAGTTATGAATGTCCATTATGACACCCAACTAGTTATAGGAACTGAGGGCTATAATTGTCAAGAGTATTTCTTTCCTGTTTTGTTAAAAATATGTTTCTATAGACAATACAGTTAAGCCTGGCTTAAAGATGGGAATATGTTTTTGTTTTGTTTTGATAGGACTGGGGTTTAAACTCAGGGCTTCGCACTTGCAAAGCAGGTGCTCTGCAGCTCGAGCCACACCTCCAGTTCATTTTGCTCTGGTTATTTTGGAGATAGGATCTCACAAGATGCCCACCATCTTCCCAATCTTATCCTTCCAAGTGGCTAGGATTACAGGCGTGAACCACTGGCACCCAGCTGGGGTTATGTTCTTAGAAGTAGGTCATTAGGCAGTTTCATTGTATGAACATCATGGAACCTATTTGCACAAACTAAGATGGCTGCAACATCTTATGATAATATAGTCTTATGGAACCACTGTCGTATATGCAGTCCGTCATTAGCCAAAGATGAGATTATGCAATGCATGACTATATTGTTAATTGTCCATCATATGATTTAAGTTAAGAGTTATCAGGAGAAGAGTAAATCACCCAAGGAGTTTCCCACCTCTTCTGGAGAAGGGATTATTGAGTTGTATGCATAATCAGTGTATCACATTAGGCAGAACTTTGTCTTTATATAGAGATCAAGTATGGTTTAAGGAATGCTAAGTTGAAAAAGGTGGGCTTGTGATGGTTAATTTTAGCTGCTAACGTGGCTGAAATAAGGAATATCTACTGAACTGGTAAACCATTGTTGAGTGAGTCCAAGTGTTTCCAGAGTTGACTGGCCTGTGAGTAGGGACGATCTGTCCTCCGTGTATGCGCACCATTCAGTTGGCTAAGAACAAAAAGAGAGAAAAGGATTTCCTCTGTGTATCTGAAGCTGGTTCATTTTCCTCCTCTTGCCCTTAGACATCGGAACTCTAGGTTCTCTAGCCTCAGAGCCCCAGGACTTAAACCAAGTGGCCCCAGGGTTCTCATGCCTTTGGTTTCCAACTGAAAATTATACCATCAGATGCATCATTGGCCTCCCTGGTTTTGAGGCCTTCAGACTTGGACTGAGCCATGTTCCTGGCATCCCCAGGTTACCAGCTTGCAGATGATCTGTTGTGGAACTCCTTATCCTCCAAAATTGCTTGAGCCAATTTCCCTAATAAATCCCCTCTCTCATATCTATCCTATTGGTTCTGTCTTTCTGAAGAAACCTAAAACAGGTGTCCATAATGCTGAATGGATTAATGTATCATCTGTGGTGGGTGATTGGTAAGCCTGACATTCTTTTGTTCACATGTTTATTTAAACCCTACTAAATTTACTCCAAAGAATAAAATAGTTCTAAATTTAATTATCTGCCTCCCTCCTTTTCTAGATGAAGGAATATACAAAGAGAACTGGAGGTGACCTGACTTGCCCACGGTCTCAAAATTAATAACAGTGATAGAACTTGATCTTACAATGTCAGTATTCTAGTGTATCAGAAAACAATATTGGTATACTATAACTGCATCTGGTTCTCTTTCTTCCCTTTCTCTGATTTTTATATTTTATATGCCATAATTGGAATGCTCACTGTTTAAGTATAAAGAACCAATTTTACCCCAAGGCATTTTACTACCAATTACTAAGCCAAGCAGTATATGGATTATATATACTAATTTATTTAATCTTCACTCTTTACAATAAATAGGTGGTGTTATCACCATGTTATAAGCAAACCAAGACTCAAGAGAATTTAAACTAATTTGCCCCAAGTTATCTAGTTTAAAAGTTTTAACACTGAGATTTGAGCCTAGGTGTACCTGACTTAAAAGCCTATGCTTTTTAAACTACTGTGCCATATACTGTCTTTCAAAATTAAAGTAAGGATAATAGAAGCTGTCCTAAAAGGAAGAAAATGTCAGCTTTCCTGATGACCATGCAGACAGACCAGGAGCAATATATTCTGTGCCAAAACACAGTCTCAGCCAAAATGTGATAGCACTTTTTTTTCTTTTCAGTACTAGGGCTTGAACTCAGGGCCTCACACTGGCTAGGCAGGTGCTTAAAGTATCCTTTCATATAACCAAAGCAAATTCAAATGTTATATAACATCAGATGAAAACAAGTATTGGCATACTCCCTTGTTCCTAATGAGGAAAAAGTATAAACATGATTCCCCATGGAAGAGCCTTGGAGCCTTGGAGAGGCTGCCTAGAGTGGTATTAGGTTCCCTCAGCTGCAGAGGACTTTTGCAACCATGCCATTTTAGCCACCTTTAACTGCTTATAATAATGCTCTTAGTAAATGTATATATTTACAGGTAACATGGTGGTAGCCTTACTTTCTTGATAATTTGTTTTTTGGGTTTTTTTTGGGTTTTTTTTGAACTGTAAAAATAGAAAGCCGTGATTCCCCTCTCACCCCAACCTCCCAGATTCTTTCTTCTTGGTCTTACTCTTGGCAACGAGATATGCCAAAGATCTCCTCCCTCCCACTTCCCATATTACTGAGTTTACCTTAGTTAGCTGCAAAGGCTAAGAGGGTCCCTGCTTCATCTTTGAGAAGTCCTGACTCCACACTTGGAATGTTTTCCACACACAGGATTTTGTAGGCCAGACCACCATTGTTTCTGCAGGAATTTTTTTTTCATTATTTTTGCTAGGAAAGCTGCCAAGATTTCTTTTTCTTTTTTTGCTACTGCTGCTCAGTGATTGAATTTTTTTTTTTAAGGGTAAAACTGCTCAGCAGTAACCATCAGTTATTTAAAATTTCAATTCATTGACTCAGAGAGTATCAAGAAGTTCACAGATACATACTACTTTTGTGACACTTCTTTTTGCTTTGTGTGATGATTATACATTAAACCCCAGAATGGTTGGGACCAGAAGTGTTTCAGATCTTGGAGTTGGTTGGCTTTTGTAATATTTGCTTAGACTGTTTTTTTCGAGAAGGAGGGCATACTGGGGTTTGAGCTTGGCTTCAAATCACTTGAGCCACACCTTCAGCTCTACACTGGAGTTGAGCAGCCCTGACTCAAAAATCAGAAATGCTTTAAAATCCATTGTGGATTTTGGATTTTTACATTAGGGATGTTCAACTTGTATTTGTCAACCTAAAGATAGAAGTTGTACTTGACATATAGGATCTTATGAGACGCTCTACTTACTAGATGTATCTTGGCACATCTTAGGAGACAAGTAGTAATTAGGAAAATAAAGTAGGGGGACACTGGAACAGTTGTATTGATCCCATGATCTTTTTTTAAATTTATTTTTTTAGCTGGGTTCTGGTGGCTCATCCATAATCCTAGCTAGTCAGGAGGCAGAGATCAGGAGAATTTGCAATTTGAAGCCAGCCGGGCAAAAAGTTCGAGAGACCCTATCTCAAAAAAACCTATGACAATAAAGGGCTCAAGGTGTAGGCCCTGAATTCAAACCCCAGTAATGAGAAAAAAAAAAAAAGGTAGAATTTATTTTTGAACTGATAACTATAAAAACATTGTAAATGCTACTGAGTCTTGTGATCTTCATATCATTGCTCCATGGTGAGGTTCCTGGGCAAGATTATCTTTAGGGTCATTAAGTATTAAAAGTCTAATTATATTTTTTATTTCATTTTAAATTTTTGAGTGTATGTAAATGAACATATTTAGTAGTATTTTTACCAAATACTTTATACCAAATACTTTAAACAAATAACCACATAAAGATGGATGCTCAAATCATGTGTTATGGGAATCCCCCCCAAAAAGGGGACGTCTTTTTTTTTTTTTTTTACATCATGGTCATGAAAGGGCAGTGAAAGCTGCACTACAGGAGATGTCCCACTTGGGACTGGATGGAGTAGGCATTCAGATTATTCTAGAACTGGCTTATTCTTCCTCTGTTCAATTGAATGTGATTCTAAGTAAGGCAGAATTAGCACTACCTGTCAGTACTTCTCTGTTATAAGTCTCTTGTTAATAATTTGGTTATTTTTGCTAATTGACCCAATATTTACATTTAGATACAAGAAAGGTGGCTACAGGATAACCTTACTTTAAGAAAAAGACATGAGGAACTAAAAGAGGTTGAAGAAGAAAGAAAACAGCACTTAAAGGAAATGGGTCAAATGCAGGTTTTGCAAATGAAAAAGTATGTTTTTATGGTCTTTGAATTATTTATTCATTCATTCACTCTTAAGATGGGGTCTCATTGTCCAGGGTAACCTTGAACTTGTGCACATCCTGCCTCCACCTCCTGAATACTGGGATTGCAGGCAAATACCACCATGCTCAGCATAAAATGGTCTTTAGTTAAATACGTATCTTCATTATTGTAATATGAAGAAATTAAGCACCTGTTTTACAAAAGAATTTAAGCCTCAGCCTAATATCCTTTGAGACTTACAGGAAGGTGGACAGTATGTTTATACAATATAGTTCATGACCTTAAAAATTGAATTGCTAAAGAAGCAATACAGATTTTGTAGTCACGTGGTGGTATGATTATAAACATGCCAAGCACGCAGCCCTTTTCTAGGTGGCTGCAGCGAATAGTGGTACTGAGCATAAAGGATATATGTCATGGCCCTGCCTGGGTCAGACTTGCACAGTCTGTAATATCGCTAGAACACTTTGTCAGTGGAAGCGCGTTCTGCATTGTCCCACTTACAATTTCATGCCCACCAGAGCATTTCCTTTTTTGAAAGATTAGCTAGTTTCTTCCTTCACCTGGTTTTATTGGTACTTATTTTCGTTGCTACCTTCCGGGTACAGGTTCTGTTCTTTCCTTGTCTGCTTTAGAGTTGCATTATGAATTCTGTAACAACCTGGTTGATACTAAGGTGCTAGGCTGGTAAAAAAAAAAAAAAGGTTATATTAGGCAGATACTTAAATTTTGAGCCACATAAGTTGGTTCCATCCAGGTCTTATGTGGTCAGCTCTTCCTTAAAGATTTTTCATTGTCTTGAATGTAAATACAAATCTGAATCAAAAAATGCTTTGGATTTTCTGAAGGATATAGTAAAAGTGAAGTTTTAATTTAACTCATAAACCTAACAAATGGTTGATCTGTGTAAGTTTAACTATTTAAGATCTCTTTCATATGTCAAGGAAATCAAACGGTATAACCGAAAGAGCTTGACTCTTCAGCCTCTTCATTTTTAATGCATTAGGATACCACGACTGAGAAAAATCACAGAGGTAGTTATGATGAAAGCCAAGAGTGTGACTCCAATATCCCCTCAGGTCCCAAGCTTTAGCTCTTGAATACTATGTTAGTGCTGTCTCTGGCAAGTTGGAAAAGTAGAGCTTTTAGAAGAAACTTGTTTTTTGTTTTGTTTTGTATTTTTCTTTATTTTTTGTTTTTGTTTTTTTGAGGATTTCATTATGTTGCCCAAGCTGACCTGCCAACTTTTGGTCCTCCTTCATTTGCTTCCCTAGTGCTGGGATTACTGATGCGCACCACCATGCGTGGCTTAGAAGAGACTTTAAAATGAAATAACTTATTCTTAAGATCGTGGTCAGATATTTTTTTAAATTCTTCCTGTGATTAGACCTTCACAGTGCTTTCTACAGTCATTCAGACTGTAAGTTCATCTGTTCTTTTTCAAACCTTTCTTAAACTAAGGTACAACAGAAATGTCTTCAAAATATAATCAGGCCAACTCTGCCAAGGAAGTCCATAAAATTACTTAATAAGTAATTGTGAAATAAATGAAGTTTTTTTAAGTCTACATAATCTGCGAAATTATCAGAAAAAACAGTATTTTACCTCTTTTTGGTCAGTATTATGGTTTTTGTATTTGTGCAACAGAAATTTGGTTTTATCAGAGAAGTCCAAATTTTTAATAAATATTACTATAGAAAGTTTGTATTGGTTTGTTTTAGATAAAATTGTACTTCATCTTTGAGACTTTAACATTTTGTGAGCAAAAGTGATTGAAACCTGTTACCTAATAATTCCTCAGTGTTGGTAATTGTGCATCCTTGGTTTTAGTCCCCAACAGTGCTTATGTTTGTCAGTGTCTAATAGGAACTGTCAGTGCTCACATGTCATGAGGCTTCTTTATTCAGCACATGAAAATTAGCTGTTCAAAAGCCTACAAGCTGGAGAAATTTGAAAGAATTTTCTTTAGTACTGAAGCTTTAAAAAGCAAGGAGAGGCTCTGTTACATAGTAATTGGTAAGGAAAGTGGCACTTACCTATCTTTTTTGCTTTAGGTTATTAAAAGCTAAAAACATGCTCCTTGTTTGTTGTTTTTCCTCTTGCAGTGAACATCAGAAGTTGGAAGAGAACATAGACAATATAAAAAGAAATCACCATTTGGCATTAGGGCGACAGAAAGGTTATGAGGAAGAGATTATTCACTTTAAGAAAGAACTTCGAGACCCTCAGTTTCGGGATGCTGAGGAAAAGTATAGAGAAATGATGATTGTCATGAGAACAACAGAGCTTGTGAACAAGGATTTGGACGTTTATTATAAGACCCTTGACCAGTAAGTATGAGACTGGAGATTTAGTTCCCATTGCCATGAATTGCTAGCACATTTTAGTCATCTTTCCTTACCCCCTTTGTTTCTTTTTAAATATACTTCCTATATTTCATAGAGTGGAAGATATGTATATGTATGCACATACATATGCTTACTTAAGTTATGAAAGTAACAAATAAAGCATATTAACATAGAGAACTTGTGATACCACCTCCCCCTAGCTAAACCAAGAATTTTATCATTATCACTAACTGGTATCCACTTAGATGCCTCCCTTTTCTCAACCTTCAGTCAACTCCATGCCCTGTAACCAGTGGCAAAGATTTTTGCTTTTTCTTCTCTTTAAAAAAGTAGGTTTATTATTCATGTGTTGGATTTTGAGCTTTTAAAAAAGGATATTATATTCTGAGTACTCTTCTAGAATTTCCTTTTTTCCTGTGTTACTTATCCATGTTGCTTATAGCTATATATAAAACTATGCCACTATATATCCAATCTCCTGTGTTTAGACATTTGGAATTTTTCCTGGTCTTTGTTTGTTTGGCAGTACAGGGGTTTGAACTCAGGGCCTCATGCTTGCTAGGTAGGCACTCTACCACTTGAGCCACTTCACCAGCCCCCAGGTCTTCACTAATAAAAACCTTACTACTAGGAACATTTTAGTCATGTCTTCGAGAGCAAAGATGTTATAAGGTTATAATGTTGTAGTGGGTTGCAGGATATGCTCAGTTTTACAAAATGTTAAATTGCTTTCCAAAAACGGTTTTACTAGTTTGCACCACTAGTAGTATATAAGGGTCTTTAATTGATTTTGTAAATCAATTCTTTAATGGCCAAGCTAATGGGTTTAAAATGATAAATCGTGTGGCTTTCATTTGTAGTCCTCTGTTTTCTTTTTTATTTATTTTTTGAGGATAGAGTTTTTAAATTATTTATTTTATGAACACATTAATTGTACATATTAGTGGGGTTCAATGTGATATTTCCATATATGCATGCAGTATGCACTGATAAAATCCAACTGCAACCTTTTCCCAATCTTCAGTGATCACTATTCTACTTTTAACTTTTTTTTAATTTTGTTTTTGTTTGTTTGGGTGGTACTAGAGGTTTAACTCAGGGCCTCATGTTTGCTAGACAGGCACTCCACTATTTGAGCCATGCCCTCTACCCTGTATTTTTTTCAAATGAGGTCTTGCATTTTCCCCAGGCCAGCCTAGACCCCCATCCTCCTATTTAACCCTCCCGTGTAGCTGGTATTATTGGAACACACCATCACGCTCAACTTTTTATTGGTTGCAATTGGGGTCTTGCTAACTTTTGGCCCAGGTTGAGCTTGAACTGAGATCCTCCTGAGTAGCCGGGATTACAAGCCTGAGATTTCACATATGTGGTACTTGTCTTTCTGTGTCTGTGTTTTATTTCACTTAAAATAATGTCCTCCAGTTCCATCCATTTTGCTGCGAATGATAGTATTTCATTCTTTATCATAGTTGAATAATATTTCTGTGTGTGTGTATGTATTACATTTTCTTTATCCATTTATCTATTGATGAGTACCTAGGCTGATTCCATATCTTAGTTGTGAATAGTGCCACAATAAACATGGGCATGTAGATATGCTGATTTCATTTCCTTTGGATATATACCCAGATGTGTGGTACCTGGATCATGTGGTAGGTCTACTTTTAATTTTTGGAGGAACCTCCATACTATCCTCTATAATGGCTATACTAATTTACATTTGCGCCAAGAGTTTATAAAGAATTCCCTTTTCTCTACATCCTTGCCAGCATTTGTTATTTTTTTTTGATAGTAGCCATTCTAACTAAAGTAAAATAATATCTCATTGTAGTTTTGACTTACATTTCCCTAATGACACTGAGCATTTTTCATGCTTGTTGGCCATTTGTATTTCTTTTGAAAAGTATCTATTCAGATCATTTGCCCATTTTTAAATTTGGTTACTTTCTTTTAAGTTTTTGTGTTCCTTATATATCCTGGATATTAACCTCCTGTTAGATGAATATTTGGCAGATATTTTTTTTTCATTCAGTAGGCTGTCTCTTCACTCTGTTGTTTCCTTTGCTATGCAGAAGCTTTTTAGTTTGATGTAATTCCATGGCTATTTTTACTTTTGTTTGCTATACTTTTGGAGTATTCTCCAAAAAATCCTTGCCTGTACCAGTGTCCACATTTTCCCTGTGTTTTCTCCTGATTGTTTCAGTTTCAGGTATTAACATTGGATTATTTTATCCATTTTGATTGATTTTTATATGTGGTAAAAGATAGGTCTAGTTTCATTCTTCTGTATGTATATATCTAATTTTCCTAGCACAATTTATTGAAGAGATATCTTTTATCCAGTATATGTTCTTAGCATCTTTGTTGAACATCTAAAGACTGTAGATACATAGTTTTGCTTCTAAATTCTTTATTCCATTGGTCTAGGTGTCTATTTCTATGCCAATACTAAACTGTTCTAACTACTATAATTTTTACTATATTTTACAGGTGGTGTAATGCTTTCTATTTTGTTCTTTCTGCTCAAAATTTCTTTGACTATTTGGGTTTTTTGCTGTTTCATGTGAATTCTAGGATTTTTGTGTGTGTGTGGTTTTTTTTTTTTGTTTTTTTGTTTTTTTAGTTTTTTGAAGAGTATCGCTAGTATTTGATAGGGATTATACTGAACCTATAGATCTTTGGGTAGCTTAGACATTTTAATAATAACTGATTCTTCCAATCCATGAATCTGGGATGTCTTTTCTACTTTTTTGTGTGTTCTCTTCAACTTGTCTCATCAATGTTTTGTACTTTTTTTGTAGAGGTCTTTTTTCTTGAGTTAAATATAACCCTAGGCCTGTTTTCATAGCTCTTATAAATAGGATTGCTTTCCTGATTTCCTTTTCACATAATTTGCTATCAACATTTAGAAACACTACTCATTTTTTTGTATGTTGATATTTGTGATGATAATCTTTTCTTTTTTGATGAGACTGGGGTTTGAACTTAGGGCTTTGTGATCACAAAACAGATGTTGTACTTCTTGGGCCATGCCTCCAGTCCATTTTTCTCTGGTTATTTTGGAGATGGGATCTTATGAACTATTTGCCTAGGCTGGCCTTGAACCATGATCCTCCCAATCTCAGCCTCCCAAGTAGCTAGGAGTAAAGGCATGAGCCACTGGCACCTGGTGTGATGGTTAATCTTGGTTGTCAACTTGATTGGATTAAGAGACACCTAGGAGATTGGTGAAACACACCTCTATGTTTGTGTTTTTCCAGAGACAATTAGATCATGAAAACTCTGACCAGAATCAATGGTTTAATCCATTGATGGATTCAAAATGTGAATAGAGAAGTAGTAGGATTGTGGAAGGTAGTGTTTAGTTGGAAGAGGTAGGTCACTGGGGGCATGTATTGGCCCTGGCTCCTTCCTGTTTGCTTCCTGGCTGCCATTAGGTAAATGGCTTTCCTCTCTGCCATGCCCTTTCTCCATCGTTTTTCTGCCTCACCATGGTCCTATCAGTAGTGAAACCAGCTGACCATGGACTGAAACTGTGAGCCAAAATAAATCTTTTCTTCCCTTGTTTGTTTCTGGTACTTTGTCACAGAAATGAAAACAGTCTTGTATCTTGTATCTTTGATTAGAATTTAAGGTTTAGAAACAAGAACATAAACAAATAACTTATTGTTAAAGAATCCTTGCTCAGTAGACTACACGTGTATATATATATATATATATATATATATATATATATACATTTGTCCATTTTATTTTTCCTTCAATGATTCTTTTTAGTCTTCCAAACTACCTCATTTATGCTTGTAGGAGACCTTTGCCTTTTTTTCAGTTCCTTAGCAACAGATGCTATTAATCCAGTAGACTCAGCACAAAACATTTGTTGAGTGCTAAGGAATAGGAGACCCAGTCCCTGCTGGCAAGGACATTATAAGTTTATTTGAAGAAACACTTCAAAACAGGTTTTTATCCATAAGAACCTACTATAGAGAATAAGATCAATTGGTCGTGGTGGGAAAGTGAAACTCTGTATTACAAAGTAGAATAATGGACTTTCTGAAAAAGTTGATAATTTTACCTTCATAAGACCTCAAAAATCCATAATACATGGTTAAAAGTATTGCCTCTGAAGACTGAATGTTAATCCTATTGTGCTTAAACAAATTATTTAAACAACCCAAGCCTCTATTTCCTTCTCCTTACCCCTAAAATGGGACTTTGGGGAGGGGGGGTGATACTGGGGTTTGAACTCAGGGCCTTGTGCTTACTAAAGGCAAGCACTGTACCACTCTAGCCATACCTTCAGCCCTTAAAATGAGATTTTTTTTAAAAACCTGTAATAGCACTCAACATGAAAATAGAAGGAAAACATGATTTAGTTCAACTTTCTCTATTATGTTCTATTTTTAAGTAAGTTCTTAAACTATTCTTTAACAGCACTAGAGAATTAACTTTATTAAGAAAACGTAGTTTGTTGTTCCTATTTAAATAGTCTTAGAGATTGTGCCGAAGAGACACTAATATTGAATATTTACTGTGCATTAGCCATAATCTAATTCTTGTGTCTACCCTATGAAGGACTAGATATTACAATAAAGTATTTATTGGAGAGATTAAGCTGCCTACCCAAGATTCCCTAGTAAATGGCAGAGATAAAATTAGACCTCCAAACCAAGAGCTTTCTATTCCTACTATGCCAAGCTGCTACCATGCTGGCCCTTTTCATAACCTTTTAAAAACCTATATAATATATATTTACATGTAATATTTATATAACTGTTCCTTAACTCATACTTTCTGATTTATAGCCATGGAATCAACTAATTTTCATGTATTTTGTAACTTCTCAATGAGGTATGTATGTACATGATATACATTGTCATTTATACTAGAAATTTGAGTGCATATGCTTGATACTGCTCTAGATACTAAGCATACAGTAATGAAGAAACCAAAAATTAAGAAGTAAGAAAATAGCAAGT